TGGATGCTTCACAGAGTCCTTCAATATCGTACAAAGGGACTTCCGACCTCTGCATTCAAAAGCACTGCATGCGTTCTGTCACCCTACCGTGGCCAAAGTAACTTTCTTACTATAATTTTGCTTCTTTTTTATTATGTAGGTTCATTATTATGATTATTGTTATTACTACTATTATTTTATTATCATTATTATTGCTATCACACCCATATTTTATGATCACTCTATTACTGTTTATTAATAACATTGCTTTTTCATACAGGTTCTATATAAAAACACTATCGTATTTCCACTAGTTTCTGTCCATTCTATACGAGCTTACTGATTAGTCATTATCTTACACCTATTACGTCATGCCAACTTCTGTCTCCTTTCTAACTTACAATTAGTCATCCCTTCTTACAACCTATATTGTGTAATACATTTTCGAGGACAAAGTTTACCAGTATCTGATTGGTCCAAAAAAATTTGTCTGTTAATTATAATTACGATTGTACAGCAAGTAATGAAAATGAATCGTCGAAAAGGGAAAATTTTCTTCACTATCTGTGCCTTTTTCTTATGACTTAATATGGGAATATTTCGTTCATTGAAGAACTCATAGAGCTTGCAAATGAACTGTCGTCAAGATTTGACAGAACAGTTCCAAAATACAGTTGGGCGCCTAGTGAGAAGTAGACATTTGTAAAAAAAAAATTATATTTGTAAAATCTCAGCTTAAATTGAAACGATTAATTCCAACGTTTGCTGAGTTCAGCATTCTGGTTCGAACTTCTTCAGGGAAATTAATCGAAATTTACATAACAGAGGTTTATATACAAAAAGAGGGACATCTCTTGTTTTTAAAAACTTTGTCCAATCATGAGTCATTAAACAAGTGACAAAAAGTATAATAAACATAACTGTATGAGCTGTGATCAAAATTTGACCTCAGACTATCAAATATTGATCTACTTTTGTTAAACACTTTAAACAGTGTGTATGTGTGTGGGTAAGCAGTTGTAAAACATTTCTTAACGTCTCCATAAGTAGATATAGACAGTCGGGAAACTTTGACCAAGTGTTATTAGTTAGTGATACATATCCATTCTTATTTATTAATCAGGATTTTTCTATGCATCAGCTAACATCACACCTTCATGTCTGTTCAAACTGTTAGTATCTGCAATTTTATGATTAGACGTATATTTTCAAAATTATGGTGTTTAGAATTAGAGTTTAGTTGAAGCACCCTGTCGAACTTATTGCTTTGTCTTCTTTGTGAAGATTGAGCTGCTTTATTCGACCTACTGGAGAGTTGTCAGGTGACTCGACAGCTACGGATTTAGGATATGCATTCTGTTGCACACAACGGAGAGTGAAAACAGGATGATTGTGTCAATTACACATAGTTTCTTTGTTAATTTAATTCGAGTGCAAAATAATTCAAATGAACTGTCTGTCGTCAAGATTTCACAGAATAGTTCTAAAACTATTCTCTGTTATGTTAATTTTGATGTTAATTTCCCTAAAGAAGTTCGGAACAGATTGTCGAACACGGTAAACGTTGGAATAACTCATTTCAATCTTGCTGAGATATTACAAATATAATTTTTTACAAGTGTCCTAGAGCTTGCATTAAATATCGCTACACTGGTTATCAAAACAAATCGAGACGAGAATCAAGACGGTATATTATTTATTTATTTATTTAAACGCATAAAAAACTTGGTACAATATGGCATCAAGATGGATGCGCCAAACAATAATAATGAAACAACATAGATCAAAAAGAAAGGAAAAGAAAAAATATAAGTAGAAAACGGATAAAGAACTTCCATATTAGTTTGTTTATCATATCATTGATATGATTTTGAACAATAAATTTTGTTCGAAACGTCATCCAGTAAATAATACTGTTTTTTCACTGTGTGATATATCTAATAAACAAACTAATATGGAATTACTTGCTACCACAGTGTCCAAGTTTTACACATAGATAAAGAACTTCATCTGGAAGGAAAACAGTCATGCTTAACAAGTTCAAACAGTATTCGTCAACTATCATCGGGAAGGGAAGAAAGAAGGAAATTACAACACGTTCGCCATTGATTACGATTCTTGGCCATATCCGATAACATTTCGAGCCATCGATTTGAGCTATCTCGCGGACCCCAATCAGGGAGGAGTCGTGACACACCAACCGATGCTAATCTAGCACAAACATCCTTCATCCCACGACGCCACGTCATGGACTGACCACCCCTCCGCCTTTTCCATCCCGTCACAGAGACCTGTACAGAAGCCTCTGGGATGACATTCTCAGCACATGTCCAAGCCAGCGGAGCTGGTGTTTCCATATGACGACGACACTCAATGAATGGTGATCTCCACTTTGTTCAAACACACGTCGCCGAACCTCAGAATTACTCACGCGATGATGCCATCGAACGCAAGCAATCCTGCGGAGACAGCGGTGATCGAACACGCAGAGTCGCCGAACATCCTCAGCCTACTCGGAGAAGCCAGGTTTCACAGGCGTAGAGCAGGGCAGTCTGCACCGAAGCATTGTATACCCGACCTTTGACAGCCAGGTTAACATCGCGACGGCGCCAAGTTTATGTATGCCACTCTAGCCTTCATTATATACGGTTGGAAATCTTATCCGTCACCCCTCCCCGCCAGCACTCACACAACTACCCAGATACACAAACTTATCAACAACTTCAAGTAGTTCACCCACAAGCAAGAGTGAGTGCAGGCACAGGCTCCTGACAATCTTGTAACAGTACTTTGCACTTAAGACGGTATATAATAAATAACTTTACGTAAGTAAGTATAAATGTGTTTATTTATTTATATATTCATATATCATATTATTTTTAGATCGTCAGAGAAGCATAATTAACAAAGACAAAGGGAACAGAAGACGGAGAGATAGGGAGAGAGAAACTGAGGGAGGGAACGAGAAAAATTCATATGAAAGTGAGTAGAAGTGAGTAGTAATAGAATAAAAAACACAGATTACATAACAGGACCTATAAATGTGCTCAAAAAGGTTATATGCATGCATAGACACACACATAGTGCATAGTATACTCCAAATAAGATAATAAGTACAATACAAGTATTATAATAATAGCAATAATAATAATATTAATAATACGAATTAAAAAGAGTTCTACTATAGATAAACAAATAACTCAATCATCCAAAAATCACCCATTACTGAAAACTCAATACAAATCATATAAAGTATATAATTAGAGGATATATAGATAATATGTATTGATGAATGTTTAGCATACGGACAGACCACTGGACAAGGCATACGTACATTCACACAAACAGAAAAGACGTACATATTGGAGTCCAGAATAAAAAAGGGGAAGTCGCCCCCTCCACCACACACACAAAGGTGTATTACACTGCCTCTGTCTCACAGAGAAAGGAGCAATCACAACTTCATATTATGACGAATATTATTTACAATTATACTGATAGTAAAAGCGAACTGCATGTAAGTACGTTTGTGTATCTAGTGGCAGTGATGAAGGGGTGGCGATGGTGAAGAGAACACTTTTCTGTACATTAAAAAAAGGAAGTTACTTCACTGTGAAATGAAAAAAAAAGAAGAAGGCCAAGGCGTTTACATTATGATTTCACCTCCAAGTGTTTTTTTCTCGAGTAAAAATCAATCTACTTATATCGCCTTATAAGTAGTTTATTTATACAAAAAAGGCAAACCTGAAATTTTGTTCTACTAATTTAATTAATATGTACACATCCCTTCACAACATATGAATGAATAAAATGAGAAAAATGCTAATTTTGTATAAAAAAAGAAGTGATTGCAAGCATAAATATATCAAAAGAAAGGATAAGAAAGACAAGTAAGTAATAAGTACAGTCATATATATATGTATCAATCAGGAGAACAAAAAGAGAAGATAGTTCTCCACTGACGTTGGCAGCAGACTTTTGCACAACTTGAAAATTAATATAACAGTAGGAGTTTTTGCACGTAATCATTGCAGAAAAAACAAACAAAGATATTGCAACTGGAGTCGTTTAAATATAAAAGCTTAAATGACACACACACAAATATATAGATATACAATACAAGTTTATTGCGTAAGAGGCCGATTGACTGGCTGGCTGGCCGGTTGGATGAAAAGGTGTGTGTGTGTTTTTGTGTCTTTGAATTTTCAGCCTTACTTTAGGAATAAGAAAGACATGAAGAAATTGCTGTAGCGGTAGGTAGGTACTTGACCCCCTCAAAAAACCCCCAGTTTATCTAGATAGAAAGAAGAGGAAACCAAGTTAAATATACACACATACACCTTCCAAATAAGAAATCAGTAATGGGAAAAGAAAACGAGACGAAAATTGAATGAATGTACTCACTATTCAGGGAATCACGATAAAGTGAATAATTGAAATGCTTCGCGTCGCTGTTAATTAATAATTAAGTTTATTACAACAACAACAACAACAACAACGGGAGAAAAGGCGATGAGGGAGGGTTGAAAGAAGGAAGGAATGAACAAAAAGGAAGGATAACATTTCAAATTCTTTGGATTTACACAGAGACTTGCAGCAGTTCAACTGCCCAATCTTCAGTTGCATAACACATTAAAACATCAAGAAACCGACGGGAAAGAGAATAAATTATCATCAGGTAGGTAGGTATGCAAAAGATGAAGTCTGTTAAACTTTTGATTTGTCTGTTTCTGAAGGGTCTATCTCAAAACAATAAAGGAGGAAACACGGGAGGAAGAAACAGGAGGATATTCAGAGAATATGTGTGAAAAAAATCACATTAGAAAATCTTGTATAACCTGAATGAGGATCATTTCATCAGCACTAATTGACCAACAAGTAGAGATATAGATCGCTACTGAATAAATACAAAAAGATATAAGTATATATATGTATGTATATATAAACATGTGATTATAAGAGAAAGGCAAGTCGGCAATGCATATAAACGCCGCCAGATTATTGCTTTATTATTATTATTATTACAGTGGTATGAAGGCGTTATTTGGACCGAGTTTAACACGTACCGGTGCTGATAAATACACATAACCATTCGAGGCGGTTGACGACAACTTATCGTGATAACTAGTGTGATTTCCACCCATAAGAAATCGTCGTCCTTCAGAGGCTGCCTTATCTTCCACAATATTCTTGTTCTTGATCATTTTCTCATTACCATTTCCACCATTATTAATCCCATGTTTAGTACCTCCGACTCCACCGCCATCTATACTGGCGGCTGCTTCGTCTCTTTGTTCTTCTTCTGCTGCTGCCGCTGCCTCTGCTTCCTCTTCTTGTTTTAAATACTTGACTTCAGCCTCGACATCTAAATAACTAATTAATAAACGAATAAATAATGTCTGTGGTCGAACATTTTGCAATAGTTCACGTGGATCTTGACTATGATTGGATGATGAACGCATTAAATTTGGTGCAATGACTGTAGATAAATTTCTGGCATCCATTAATGACTTATTTGAATTGATTGGTTTTGAAAGATGCTAATGAAATTCAAAAGAGCGGGAAAAAAACAATTAAAAAGAAAACCAAGTGAATTTTAATTTCTTAACATTCACATTATTATCTATCAGTGATATAAGGATAAAACTTAATAATAATAATAATGATAAAGCTTTATTTAAGGCAGTATACGAATATACGGTACAAAAATTTTCAGCGTATTCAGCTCCAAGATACTTTTTTCTTCACACAGGATTCACATGTAAAGTAATAATCTGAAGTATATCTTCATTTCGTTGAAGAATTAAACAGCGTTTACTTGGGAGCAAGTTAAATCATCGTGCAAGTTTATGTATAGGTCATTTGATATAACTGGACGATTAAAACAATGATGATAAATCCAGATGAAATTAAGCATTTTGGAGGAATGTAATTTCGGTAGCCCAATGATTTAAGCAGGCCGCCTGTGATAGTGGTGGTAGAGTATAATTTTGATTACAGCTTGATTCCACACCGTATTTTCGATACATGTAAGGAGTTTTCAGCATATGATATCGGTAGCTCAAATTTTGCTGGCCGACCACCAATTGATAATCAGGTATACGTTGGCAGGGGATAGAACCCTGGATCATGTGAATGGTCGGCGAGAGTCCTAACCGCTGTGCCACCGACGCACATAAATCTATTATAGATAAAAGTTTTTATTTTGATATAATCACACAGTGTGTTACAAAGTAAGTAATGTTTACTGATGACCACGTTTTGAGCACAATTTCTTACTGCTGCTAACAATCATATCAAGGCACTACTCACACAACTTTCTTGCTTCATTTATAAATATGAGTATAAATTGATGATTAGATATTTGATTGAATAAAATCAATATAGGATAGAGCACATTCAGAAATAATAATAATAATAACAACAGTGTTATCAATCAAATACAGTCAGATGGGAAATATGATGTTTCATAGTAAAATTGTTAGAATGCTATAATGTGAATTGTAATACATTTTAACACTATTTATTATCCTCCTCTGATTTAACTGGTGGTAATAATATCTTCCATATCTCTGGTATTTGCGTTGAGTCACTTCTATTGTATGTGTTGGGTGTAGACTCGATGCTGAACCAGGCAGGATTCAGGAATCAATCTCTCTCGCCCTCCACCTACCTATATTACTTTTTAGAGTTTTAACCTTCTCCCACCCACTCTATCGTGTGGTTGTATGTTAATGCATGCAGTGCAATTGCTGAGCTCTTCTTTAAACTACTTATCTTCGCGGGGTCAATCGTTCTGACCTCAGGTAAATTTTTATGTTCCGACAATCTGACTACTGATTCGATCTACTAATTTGACCTATGTAGTTGACCTCAATCATAGTCAATTACAAAGTATTTTGTAAATTATATTATTTTGTCTAATTAGGTCAACCCACAAGGTCCTTTAACCTACAGAGTTTGTCCTATCTGAGTGAGTTTGTAGGTTCACCCTAATGCCACCACTCTAATTCTTGCTTAATTAAGAATCCCAATACGTAAGGTCTCAGAAATCCCCTCCTCATATGGTATAGCAGTAGATGCCTTAGATTCTTTCTTATTCATCTTATCATTATCAGTTTCACCATTATTTTTATTTTGTTTTTGACATTTTTTGATCTTTCTAATCAATTCTATAGGAAAGTTAACTATTTAACACCAACCAGCTATTCTTTTATCTGTTTTATTTCATCATTTAGCTTTTTTGATGTACTACTACTCAATGCTATTGCTCAGTTTGTTAGACACACAACTATAACTACGCCTGACTTCACAGACAGATAACGACGGATAAGATGAATTCAAGTCTAAATATCTATTAGCAGAATGCGTTGGCTTTCTTATAAACGGGTAAGCCCTATTGAAGTGTTTAATCAAACTAGGCGTATCTGCAATCTTGAAGGAACTCGTGTCGCTTCTGATATTTGAACCCATCTTAATACTCAGTGTTGCAGTCAGAGACGCAAGCTCAAATAGCTCAGTGGTAACGTCTCTGACTGAAGCATTCACTGGTTGGCACGGGTTCGAATCTAAGAAAGGACATAAGTTCCTTCAAGATGATTGCAGATACGTCTAACTGACTGTTGAGTGCCAACTAGGACGAAATCTACGTCAGACAAGGCTTCATGCAGATCGCCTTCAACACGGTAATTGATAACACCCTGATAAAAACAGAAAAGACGTTCAAGATGAGTACACAATGCTAACAATCTATCTTATTCAATTGTTAGTTTCCACGGATTTAAATTAGTTTCAACTTGAAGGATCAATAATTAGCATCAGCTTAAAGAATTATTAAAAATTAGCGTGAAATACTGAACATCTTTTTCGTATTAGTTTGGGACGCTTCAAGAAGTTTACACCAGTGACTCCAGCAGAGCCAGGGATCGTATCCAACTACCTTCAGGTTACACATTATCAAACTCAATGACCATTCCCATCATCAATTGGAACGGAATTCAATGGATTCCATCTTCATTAATTCTAACTTCTATAAATTCATGAGTTTTAGCACTACCAACGTAACTGACTAATTGACTGACTGGTTTCAAAGTAGAACTTTGCACAGATGTGCACCAGTTCGAGTTGTCACTCCCCTTCCATGTAACACACACAAAGCAAGAGAACAGAGAGTAAAAAGAGATTCAAAACAGAGATAATGCACAGAAGTGTGAATGAGGCAAAAAGAATAGTAGTCATATGGAAGAACAATATAGTTTTATTCGATATTATAAGTCACAAGGAGTGGATGCATCTGCGCCAGACATTGACAACGAGGATTGTCTCCAGCTACTGGTTTTTACCATCCCAAGGATCCCAAATCAGGAAGTCAGCTAGTCTACACTGTCCTACGTGGCTTAAACCAACTGTTGTGGATTTCATTGACTGATGAAGCTATATAATATATTGGTTTCACCACCAATAGCTGGCTCCTCCTTTTCTAACCTGGTCCTGTGTCAGCTAACATTTCCTGTCGTGGAAGGCGATCGACGGCTAGGGATGCATACGTAACACATGTCCTAACCATTTCAATCGACATAACTTCACAGCCTTGCAACGCAACAAGAAGTCATTGTAACCAGTGCTATCCAATAGAGGTTAGACTCAATTCCCAGTTGTCTCTCCTAACTGTATACTGTTGAAGGGTTCCAAGACTAGGATGACAGCAACAGCTGTCCACTAACTACATGACTAACTAACTAACCAACTACCAACTGTGTACCAATCCATTATTATTTAGTTAACGAAACCAAAATACCAAAAATAGAAAATTCTGCATACACCACCTGTGAGGTGCATTAGTTTAGTAAAAAAAAAGGTGTGTGTGTGTGTGTTAGAAACCCTAGAATTATAATAGATGTACATAAATATACACGCACACATACACACACACATGTAGCGCGCACAAATGTAGTCATCCCTATTGAAACCATTGAAGAAACACTAACACTAGAAGAAGAGAAAAAAAATCAATAGAATTCAAAACGGTAATTGGACAACAAGGCAAAAAAAAATATAAAACACACAACGCACATACAAGAAGGAATTTACAAGACAAAAAATGAAGCGATGAAAAGAAAGAAAAAACACCCATCTCGTAGACACACACACACACACACACACTTAAATGCACACACAAAGAGAGGATGGATTAGAGTGGAGTGGAGTTTTATGAGGCTATGATCACAGCAGGAAATTTTCTATTTGATTTTAATTCTAATAAAACAAAAAGTGTTTTATGCATAAGATTTCCACCTTTCGAAGCATAGCAACAACAGCACCAGCGGCAGCAACAGTGGTTATGACTAACAAGAAGAAAAAAGATCTCTCCCTCCCTCTTTCTGTTTGCCTTTTTTTGTCTGTGTAATACTGACGATTGTGATGCTTTTTTTCTTTTCATAATCACCACTAATGTGGTGCTTTTTTAGACATTAATTCTCTATTTCCCCATTGATTGATGATTATGCGCTAGACAGAAATGTCCCAGCTTTGTTGATATGTCATCACCTCGTCGTTTCGATGTTTCAATGATATCTGATGTCATTTTGGTTGGCGGGGACGAACAGTGATATATATATATTCCTCAGAGTCCTTTGAACACACAATCTGATCAGAAGTCTTCAAGTGTTTGACATACGATTCAACCGCTCCTGTGAAATGTAAGATGATGTTACAGGAAATGGAATACATCGACACTCATTGCTAGTTTAAAGATAGGGAGGGATTGAAGTAGTTGGCGGAGTGTATTGACCACTTCATTAATTTGGGAGGTTGCATCAGCCAGCCCCAACTGGCTGATTGCTGACGAAATCTCAGTATCGACACAAAAGGTACACGTGAGGGGCATTTGTCAAAATATGTCATCTGTAGGATAGGATATGATATCCGGCTGGTTATCGATCAAAAGACGTGTGTACTGCTCAGCAGTTTGCTTGAACCTATCTAATGGGCTGGCTGTAAGTGAGATATGGCCATTGGAAGTGGAAGATATGGAAAGGCAGGCTGGCTATCTTTGACCACAGGTGCCTGAGTTCTATCTCTCATGTTTGGTGGTATAATATGGTGCGTCATATTGGGGTTACACATCGAGTGTTAGGGGTAAGCAGGGGAATTCAGTCGATAAGCATCCATAACCATCGTCTTTCTCGACAACAGGCAATGTTAGCTGACTGACATAGGATAAAGTTGGAAAAGAGTAAGTGATGGTCAAATCAAAACTTGGAGTCGACAGTCCATGAAATCTTTGACAGTTATTCTGAGTCATAAAGGGAGGTGTAGGCTTCCTGACTGGGGCTTCCGAAATACTAAAAATCAACGACTCGAGATAATCAGTGATACAGCTTGAAATCGTTCTCAATGGTTGACAGAGATGTATTCACTCTTTGTGATTTCCTACATTCTTTGAACTCTAAAGTTTCTCTTTGTTACTTACTATTCTTTCCCCCTCATTTTGAATCCTTTTTTGTCTCTATTTCCTGCCTTTGTGTGTGTTACACATACA